GCTGAGACCCCAATTAGGCAGTTGCTTTTAGAAAACCTGCAATGATAAACCTTTCTCTGCCCTTTGGGTGTGAGATCTACCACTAGCCTGTTTTCCTGGAGGACCTGAGAGCCTTCTCTGCAGTACCGACATTCAGGGGAGCTCATCCTGATCTTTAGTCCCTGTGGAAGGAGTAGAGCTGACTTCAGTGGTTTCATCACCAGAAGTCTAACATGACTTCCTGTCCTGAAGATAAGAGAAGTTTGTTTCTGCCCCAGGTGAGCCAGGATGAAACATCCACGTGGCCTAGCCACACCGGACCAAGCCCTCCCCACAGACCACAGTTCCCTTGGCACACCTGGCCTATGAAACATTGCCAGGCTTCTGTTTTGCCTCGGGATGTGCGTCCTGTCCATGCTGGACTATTTTCCTATTGCAATCATGTCACTGAATAAACCCATCCTACAACTTTAACCAGGGTCAGCTTTGTTTATCTTCAACTGGAAGAGAACCCTTCTTTACTTTAGAAGTTATCGCTTTCTGTTTATTTGTTTCCATCTTTTATTTTAGATTTGGGGTGCCTGTCCAGGTTTGATCATAGGTAATTTGGATCTCTGGAGTTTTCATAAATTCTTTTATCACCAGGTATTTATCATGGCACCCAATTAGGTAGCTTTTCCATCCTCATCTTCCTCTGACCCTCCACTCTCAAGTAGACCCTGATGTCTACTATTCCCTCGAAGTCAACAGTAACTCAAGAAGAAGCCACTTTCTTTGGATATTTCCAATGAGATGATGAAGAACATGAGTGATTTTCTGAGGAACTCATGTAGCTAGCCCGAGGTGGGAAGACCAGGCCCCTGACTGACTGCCTCTCCATGCTCCTCAACTCCTTCCCCACCCTAGGCCCCTCAGTTTTCCCATCTTTGATTATTTTCTCTTTGGCCCTCCCAGAGCAGACACTTGAGGATTTTTCAATAGGAAGACAATCAGAGAATCTAGGAGGAATCCCAGGGCCTTGACACCCAGATGACAACTGTGCAGTGCAGGGTTTCCTAATATCCACTCTGTAAAAGATAAGTAAATCTCAAGCCCCCTCTAAGACAAAAACTCTAAAACTAATGAATGGTAAATCTCAAATCACTCTTATGAAAATATATCTGCATCCTTCAGCCATGTAGGGGACAGTGAACTTCCTTTCTTTCGGCTTGAAATTCTTCAGGTGTTTTCGGCAACAGCACCCCATCAATCACGGTGGTCAATAAAGGAGGTGACTCTGGGAAGGCAATGCAGTGCCTGCTGGTTCCTCCCTGGTCACACCCATGTCCCCAACTCTGCCTGTCTGAGGGTGAGACAGGTACCACAGACTGGCGTGACTATGGGCCATGGCTGCATATTCTCAGGGTCCTAACTTAAGTGGGGTAGGTCTCTCATGACTCAAAGTAGAACTTCAGGCAGAGGCTAACACTGGTCAGGTGATGAGGAGAGGAAGAAATCTTCACTCAGATTGAAATATATGTATTATCTATAAAATTACATGCCTATATTTCAATTTGAGCGCATGCATTTCCCTCTCTCTCTATCCACAGTTGATTTTTGGTAGTCCTGAAGTTGCTTCGATAAAGCTCCCATGAGTGCTGAATTAGAGAATACAGAGTCATCACTCAAGGGAAATACCGAGTTAGGCTCTTGCAAACCTCTGGCCACAACATTTTCATCAACCTTCTTTTATGTGTGGGTTTCTGTTGAAAGACACTTCCCACAGCTCCATCCCACACAAGGTGTTGCTGGCCCACCATCCACGCCTCATATATGGAATCAGCCAATCTCTCCTCTCCCCCCTTCCTCTACCGTTTGCTTTCGCTCCTATACTCTGGGTGAGGTGGTGAAAGGACGTTTAGTGAGATTTTGGCTGTCTGCTTGGCTCGGGAGTAACGAAGGCCGCGCACTCCTCTTGGGAGCCCTCTAAACAGTGACATCACCACAAAAGCACAAATGTAGAACACATGGCACTAAATAGACCTAGAGGACCTTGTTAACTGGGAGCAAACGAGAAGACAGAGTTACCTCCCGGATCTCAGATGGAACGTGCCATCATGCAAATCCACCTTCCCTGTTTCTGTGCCTGCCTGTGTAGCTGCATGCTGACCATGGTACAGTATCGATTTTGGGGTTACAAGGACATTTTAGCAAGCAGGTGAATTTATAAATGCAGAATCCATGATTAATGAGGAGAGATGTTGCTATCTATTTGAATATAAACAAGAGCTGATCCATGGGTGGGTTTGAGGAAGTACTGAACCATCATCACTCAGAGCCTAGATTAAGACTTGATTCCTGTTAGAGAAAATCTTGAAGAAAAGAATCAGTGATGAACTCACAGTATTTTTGATCCACGTCTTAATTTAGGTTTACCTTTGATGAATAATTTTTATGCCGTCACAGATTAGAGAGCCTGACTCATGATGTTGCCATCAGGGCAGCTGGTCCTGGGTAGTTATATTTTTATATTTCATATTTAGTCACAATGGTGTAGTTGCTAAGATAGAGCATGGACATTGAAAGCAGATTAACTGGATCTGAAGCCTGGCTCTGCTGCCACTGGCTGGGAGTTTCACCTGTTTGGGCCTCAGTTTTCTCATCTACGAGGTGAGTTATTATGAGGATTAAATGGCACAGACACATGTGAAATACTTAGCACAGCATCTGGTGTCTGGAAGGGCTAGCAGGTAGAATGTTAGGTATTACTTGTTAGCAGAGTTGCTGGGTTTCTCTCCCTGCCCAATCTATCATGCCATCTTTGCCCAGTTCCACTCCTGGGCCTGTATTTTCCTCCTGGAGATCAGATGGAACTGGACAATTCCTAGTCTTTGAGACCCTGTGGCTCACAGGACTTTAGTCTGCTCTACAAAGCCAATGACTGAGCTAGTTCGGGCTGCCTGGGGGAGATGTTTTTGTGAAGTGGACCCGGACCCAGCTGGAAGAAGGTACAGATCACAATCGTATGACTGAAAAATACAGAACAGATGGGAATAATCTAACCTCTTAAAACTCCTCAAGAAATCTACCTAAAGCAAGAAAAACGCCCCTCTGGAAGAATGCAGAGCAGCGGCGTGGAGGAGCGCTAAAGCAGCTGTGGTGAGACGAGACCTGGATGAGTGTTGACGGGTGAAAGGGGAAGGAGGAGGGAATTTCTAAATAGTGGGAATCACATGAGCAAGGACACAGGTGTCACTGTGTAGAGTCCAATTCCAGAAACACCCAAGAGTTCTGGGCTTGAGAGAAATGCCATGTGAAAGTCTAGAGGAGGGACAGGTGCAGAGCCTACCTTCTGCACAGTCTGGCACACAGCGTGCCTTGGAGTGTGCTTGAAGGCCTAACTTCATGGACGGAGGTATTTGTCTCATAAGAAGGCCCAGGCTTTTAAGTGGGGTGACATCCTCTAACTCTGTTAAGGAAGGCGAGTCTGGCTGCACAAGAGACATAGAAATAGGATGGAAGGTGAAGTAGAAGATATAGAAGTTGAGGCAAGAGACAGGAGCACCCCGGTTGGGGCAGCAGCCATGTGGGAAGACTATGTCAGCCAACAATGACAAGTGATTGCGCTGTCCACTCCAGAGTTTTTCCAACTGCCTGCCCTGTGTGGGCATGACCTTGCTTATGTCAGAAAAGCTGGGGCATCTTCCACTCCCCTCTCTTTCTCCTTTTCCATCCTGTCCATCAGCAAATCCTCTCAGTTATTCCTTCCAGGAATATCCAGACTCAACCCTCCTCCCATCCCCACTACTACAGCCCTGTCTAAGCAGCCAGGAGCCCTGGCCTGGATTACTTGGCAACACAGAGCCGCCCAGCTGGTCAACTTCCATCCACTCTGCCCCTTTCCACAGTCTATTTGAACACCAGAGGCAGAGACCTTTGCTTGTAGATCTAAGATCATGTGACTTCTCTGTTCAAAACCTCCAAAAGCACCCGTCTTGCTCACGAATCCAAATCCAAGTACTTCAGACCAGCCCCTCTCCCACCGCCCATTAACCTCTTTAGCCTCAAGCCAGTCTATCCGCACACTTGGTCCTCTCAGCCAAACTGGCCACTTCCATCGAGTCTTTGCAGTGGTGTTCCCTCTCTGCCTAGAATAGGCTTCTCCAGGTTTCCTGACAGCTGACTTCCCACCTTCTCCAGGCTTGGCTCAAATACCTGTCTCACTGACCCATTCCTGATCCTGCTACTTCCAGTTTGAAACCCCCACAAACTCTATCCCCTAATGCTGCACACCATCAAACAGAATACACACTTGATTTGCTTTTCTATTGCACTCTCCCACTGCACACTGTAATGGAGAAGTCCCAAGAGGAGCAGGGAATCTTTCTTGTTTCACTCCTTTATCCCCAGCTCCTAAACAAGTCCTGGCACATATGAAGTGTTTATTAAGTCTTTACTGAATGAATCTCATGTACTCCTCCCAGACCTTTTAAGAGGAGAGTGCTGTGACTTCCAGGGAGGCAGCATAGAGGACAGGATTGTAAGATGCTGCAGAGGTGATGTCACCAGAAACAGTCAACCCACTGGGAGGTGGGGTGAAGTGAGAGAACAGGAGGATATGTTGGAGTTTCCTGTGTGCTGGGAGGAGGCGAGTGTCCTTGGACTGAGATTCAGGCTTCCCTCTCCATGCCTAACCATCCCTGCTATCTCTCTGGCCTGAGGTGGAAGGTTCTGGTTCAGCCTCCTCCCATAGTGCCATTTTGGGAGGCGGAAAATGTAAAAAAGAAGTGGAGTGGGCAGAGTCCATTCCACGCAGGGGTGAAGCCTGGGAGCACTGGACTGGAAGTCAGGAAAATGGGTTTGAGGCCTGCCTGAATCCTCCTGGCTGTGTTACCCAGGTGAGTCACTCGCTTCCTGGGCCTCAGCAACAAACACACAGGTGTTACTATAATTACCCGAGATTCTTTCACTCTTAATTGGAGCTTAAAGGTGCTAAGACTCAAAACCTGTAATTCAGAAACAAAAAGATCCTTACCTCTCTAGAGGTCTCCATGTAAATCCAGAGAGAAGAATTTCTGTGAAGACAAAGGCAGAGGATGTGGGTTGGGGGCTGCAGGGAGAACACTGAGCTGGGTGACTGGGGCAACAGAGGTGTCAGGTTCTCCCTCCTGGTGCCAAGCTGGCTGGGCAAAGTGGGCAGGACTCGGCTCTGCTGGGCCTGAGCACGGGGTGAGAGCATAGCAGGGAGAGTGGGCACCAGCATGGGGAGGATGTCCTGGGAACTCTGGGCCAGTCAATGGAGCTCTGGAGAGGAAGCCCGCTCGTTGAAGCGGCTGGCTCCCCATCCTTCTCCCATTTTCTTCCCTGGGAAGAACCATCCAATTCTCCTTCAGATCTCCTTCTCCCCATCACTCCCATGGTCAGATATCTGTATGACCCAGGGGGCTCCATCTCCCTGAACATGGATATTAGTTCAGGGATGGGCACTTACCCATGTCAATCAATAGAGTTTTACCCCAAAACTTTTGCAGGAATTGTTTAGAAACAGATTTTTTAAGCAATAGAACATTAGTGCCATTGTCTTTAACCTTCCAGAGACATATCTGCCTAAGAGTGAAGCCAGCACAGAGATGTGCAAATCTGAAGGATAGAGAATGGTAGATTTTCGAAGTAATATCCTGTGATCATCTGGATCCAGCCATGCCTGAAAGGCATCACTCTGGAGATTTTCAGTTTACGAGAGCTATTGCAACACATTTCTTTTTCTGTTCAAAGGCATAGGGGAGTTTCCTCATCTCCCATTAGAAGATCCTAGCTCATACAAGCTCACTGAGACTCATCCCCTACCCCATGCTTCTCTTTGGTGTGTGTTCACCAGATTGCAGTGACTGTAGTACTGCACTGCGGTTTATGTCCTGACCAGTGCAGGTTCCTCCACTAAGGATTGTAGTCCCACTGGCCAGACGTGTGTGTGTGTGTGTGTGTGTGTGTGTCCATGTGTGTCTCTTTGTGTGTGTGCCTGTGTGTGTTTCTGTGTGTGTGTGTCTGTGTGTGTGTCTGTGTGTCTATATGTGTGTGTACTGGAGAGGTAGGTAATCATGGAGCGCTTCCACAAGATCTCAGAAAAACTCAAAAAGATGTCCCAGGATCTTAGGGATGGGTTACCCAAGACTCAATTCTTCCCCTTTTACAAACTGGGTCACTCTGATATGCATACAGAATTGCTGGGATATTTTCCTCCTTCCAGGCATGAGAAAACAGGTGTGTTTAATTCCTTGAATAGTTTGTCGCAAGCCTGAACCAAGACCTAGCCCCAAGAACACATTGGACTCAACCCTTGGAAACACAAGCAGAGTCGGTGGTGGAGGCTGGCCCTGAGGACCCGGGTATTTCGGGTCCAGGGGGATAGAATCCGGGGATCAGGCTGCTCTTGGGCAAATTCAAACTATTCCCCTCCAAAGGCAATAGTTTGCAATGTCCCCTCAAAGTGTGTGTCACTCTGGATGTTTCTCCTGCTGGGCTTCCCTGTGATGAGAGAGACACCATGGCCATCCGTAATCCTAAAGGTCCACAAGTCCCACAATCCTAATATGTGAGAGGATGGCAGGGTGGCAGAAGATACTCTAGAGGCGCAGTTGTGGGTTCTGGGTCCCCACAGTGTTGCTTCTGTATTGATTGAACTGTGACATACCATGGGGCAATTACAAATTATCTATATTTGTTACCTCCTATTAAAATGGCACAATGATCTCAAAGCTGAATTTCTCAAGAAGATACGGTGGAATAAGGGTTAAGGGCATGAACTCCCATTCCACTGTCACCATTCTCAAACCAGGCTCCTCCACCTTCCCTGTAAGCATTCCTGATGACTATAATGAATGCTTCCCTCTATTCACTGCCACCATGCTCAACCTGCAAAGTATCGAATGTGTTTCTCTTTGGATAGTTCCCTGCTTGAGCAGGGAGTATGTCCCCTTCATATCTGTTTTTCACTACCACTAACACCCACCCCTACATACGACATGTGGATGGATGGATGGATCATTGAAGGGATGGATAGTTGGTCAATGCGCCAGGTACAGTTGAGATTGGATGGAGCGCATGAATAGATGGGTGAAAACAAGCAGATAGGTAATAACTTCTGGATTATTGGTTTTGAAGGAATGAGTGATGGGTAAAGATGTAAAGGTGGCTGGAGTGATCCATGAATGGTGGATGGATTGAAAATGATAAATAAAAGTTATGAACAGGCTGATATTAGATTGATAAAAAGATGTCAGTGAATTGGATGAATTAGTGAACAGACAGGTGGATAAGAAGATCATAGTAGATGGATTAATGATTAAGTGGACAGATGACTATCTTAGAATGACAACTGAGTTAGAGTCTCAGAAAATCTAGAAAACTAGACCACCACCAGGTCTAATACAGACAGTTTCTAAGTCAACCAAGATAAATTGTGACATCTTTCGAAAATCTTTGAGCTTAATATCTCCATCCTCCAAATTCAGGATGATGGTGTCCCCAGGGAATATGTACTGTTTAGTTTCTCAAAAATACATCTGAAAACAAGAACTGCAAAATATTAAATTTTGGTCAAATACTAAATTTGGTCAATTTTTACCATATTATTTTTGGACTTTTTTTTTTTTTTTACATTTGTGCCATTTTACAATAAAGGACAAATTGATTCCCCATTCAGATATTGACACTCTAGAGTTGACAAGTTGTCCAGGTAACTGTCCCAGGGCAAGAGGACAGCTGAAATGAAGAAGTCTGGGACCAAGTATACAGGGTTTGAGTTACAGGAATGGGCACACCTACATTTCCAATGTAGTCTCCAAAAAACCTCTTCGTCTTCGGCAGGCGGTGAACCATGACAGCTGAGGTGATGGTTTGACACCAAAGCAGTGATAGCAATTTTCTGCAAAGTCACAGGCAGTGGTAGAAGTTCAAGGCGTCCCTTAGCCATGCATTGGAAAGTGGCGTTACCACTAAGCCCATCTTGTACAAGTGGCAGGGAGCAGCAGAAGATACTGTAGACCCATGGTGTGGTTCCAGGTCCCACAAGTGTTGCCTCTCTTTAATCTCAATTGTAACATGGAGTCAATTATGTAATCTCATCTCTGCTACCTTATCTCCATTTGCAATGGACATAATGATCTCAAGCTGAATGTGTCAGAAAGGCGAAATTGGAGCTGAATTGCAGAGAGCATGGAATCCTGAATTTCCTTGTCTGCCTTCAAATCCTGCTGCTCCACTTTAGCCATTAGGCCTCAAACTGATCCACCTGATTTCTCTGGGCCTTGGTTTCTCCACCCATGGATGGGAATAATGGCTGCACCTACCTCATGAGTTAATACATGTAGGAGAGTGCCGTGTCTCCCACACAATAAACATGTGCAGAATTGGGAGGCATAGATAAGATGATTCACACAGAGGCACCTCAGAAGGTAGCAAATGTGCTTTAAAAGTGAGTTCTAAAGATAAACAGATGTCGTCCCTTGTAAGACACAGTGAGTTCTCAGCTGAGTGAGGCGTCTGTGGCACAGCCAGAAAGTTTCCAAGCTGCATTTTGTACTTTCTGGTGGCAGCAGTAATCAAGCATGACTCTTTGGTACAGGTTGGCAATGTGCCCATCAAGGCTAATAGTAAATATTTGGCTTTGTGGGCCACGTAGTCTCTGCTGCAACAGCACTGCTGTTGGCGTGAAACGATCACATACATGAGGTAAATGAATAAGGTGTCGCTGTGTTCGAAAAGCCTCTTTATGGACACTAATTTGATTTCTTATAATTCATAGTTCATGACATATTATTCTTCTTTTGATTCTTTTCATTAAATATTATTCTTCTTTTGATTCCTTTCCAATCAACAAAAAAGTTTTTCAATAAACATCCTTAGCTCCAAGGGCCCGCATGAGCGTACATCCAGATGTGGCCATGAGCAATGGTCTGTTCACCTTTGTCTCAAGTCCAAGCCTGAGCAACACCAATTATTACCAGAACCTCTTTCCATCTTTAAAAAAATGTAAAAATATAAAAAATAAAAAAGCTGTCCTGAGAGAGGCTCCCTTCTTCCTGTCTAGAGTTGAGATTGAGTCTGCTGGCACATCTGGTTTCCTTCTTTTCTAAGAGTCCAGGGACATCTAAGCAGAATGGATGGTGAAACCTCTCTCCTAAGTGACCTGGAATTGGGCGGAGAGCTGCGTCGCGCTCATTTTTCACAGCAGAAAGACAGCTGGCTATGGAACCAAGAGAGTCAGCCAAAGCTTAGGGGCAGATGAGGTGCTGATCAGACTGGAAACAAAGTGCAGCCAGAAGAGAGAGCTGGAAGGGAGAGCAGGCAGGCTCCATGGTAGGGAGAGCAGGAGCAAGTGCAGACCCTAGAGCCTGGTTTTGAGATCACAGAACAGAATCAATGCCCAGGGTGTTTCAGGTAAATAAACGGGACCGGAAGTGAGGGCAAGAGAAGGCATTCAGAGAGGAGGAAAAAGAGGCCAGAGAGTCAGGATTCGCACTATTGTGTAATTTCTGTTTCCTGTTTTTCTAAAAACTCAACCTCATCCCAGACCTCTATTTCCTTAAGAAAATTAATTCTACTTTTATAAAGAAGATTTTGAGACAAGTCTTGCTTTGTCATCAGCCTGGAGTGCAGTGCAAACACAGTTCACTGCAGCCTAGACCTCCAGGGCTCGTGTGATCCTCCCTCTTCAGCCTCCCATGTAGATGGGCCCACAGGTTACCACCATGCCCAGCTTAATTTTCTTTTTTTATTTTTTTGTAGAGAGACGAGGTCTCACTTTGTTGCCATGGCTGGGTTACGGAGCTCCTGGGCTCAAACAATCCTGCTTCAACCTCCCAAATTGCAGGATGAGCATGAGCCACCTGAGCCCATGCTCATGTGTGACAGAAGTCGGGTCAATGGGCAACTGTTCGCCATAACCAATTAATTCTTTAAAATTCTCAAAATGCTAAAAATTCTTAGCATCCCCCATTTTCTCTTCTCCTATGTACTAGCCCTTTAAATTTGGTGTTGTCCTCAAATAAGCTTTCATATCTCTGAAATCCTCCCA